ACGCCGTCCACACACGTACACCAGCCCCTACCCCAAGCAGGAGCTTGGCTTAAAAACAAATTGTAAAACTGATAAATTGTGGGGGATTTTTTTTTAGTTTACTTCTGTGGTTTGTTTTGAGCCTTTTGGGAGAAGCTGCTCACGCCCTAAAATGTGCGTGATCATGACCGTTCAAAATTCAAACTTAATCCTACTTGGAAAAAGGTAACGATAGAGAACCAGAGATAATTGGATTGGTGCTGAAAAGGTGCCATGTAGTTGTGGTGTGCGTAGGTCCCAATGACATAGGGAAAAGTAGGAGAGAAAGCTTGCACACCAAAGTAAGGTTGCAAAGATTGAAGTCCAGTAGTAGTAGTAGTCTTGGAGTTGTTTCCAGTTCTACGTGAATATCCAGTTAGACAGGCAGAACAGCACGATCGCAATGGGTGGATGAAATGACAAAGCTTAGAGGCCAGAGTTAGGTTTATGTGGAATGGGAAAACTTTTTGGGAAAGGAGAAGCCTAGATAAGAAAGATAGGCTCTACCTAAACTAAAACAGAACGAGTTTGCTTGCATATAAAATTAAAAAGGTTGCAGAGCACTTTTAAAAGTAAGAACTGAAGGAAAGTCAACAGCTACAGAGAAGTATACGGTGGGGTAGAAGACATCCGGATTCATTAGGAAGGTATACTCATAGACTTGAAGGTCAGAAGGGACCATTATGATTATCTAGTCTGACCCCCTGCACAATGCAGGCCACAGAGTCTCACCCACCCCCTCCTAGAATAATCCTCTCACCTATATCTGAGATACTGAAGCCTTCAAATAGTTTGAAAACCCCAAGATGCAGAGAATCCTCCAGCTGTGATCTGTACCCCATACTCTATATATCCTAGTAAAAAAGGGGAGGATAAAAGTCACTAAATTACAAGTAGGAATTGAAGAGAAACAGTCAAAAGAAAAATTAACTTAACATTAAGCTCAAAGAAAAAGTTACTTTCATTTACATCACAAAGGCAGAGAAATAGTGATAAATTTTACAACTTCTTGTACACAGATGCAAGAAATATAAATACTAAGAAGGTGAAACAGAGTGCCTAGTACTATATCAATATTCTCTTTTAAGAGGCATCACAAACTCAGTGGAAAGATGATAATCAACCAGACACAGTAAGGAAATGTACAGGAATGATAAAATAGATCACATTAGTGGGGGAGTAGCACACTATAGAAACAATACATGTTAAATATGCAATATATCTTAAATGAAAAAACCAGTATCATAGCATCTCTGTGTATAGAAATTCAGTGCTTCAATAGTAAGGTAGTAGGAACATATTACTGACCGCTTGACCAGGATGGTGGCAGTAATTGTGAAATGCTCAAGACTCTGAAACAGAAAACACAACAATAATGGGGGATTTCAACTACCGGTATTCCCATATTGACCCAGAACATGTCACCTGAGGATGGGATGTAAATATAACATTTCTAGACATCATTAATGATTGCTTCTTGAAGCGGCTAGTCCTCGAACCCTCAACAGGAGAGGAAATTTTTAATTCAATCCTCAGTGTAGCACAGGATCTGGTCTAAGAGGTGAATATAGCTGAATTGTTCAGTAATACCAACCATAATGTAATTAAATTTAACATCCTTGTGGAGGGAATGACGAAACCCGCCCAGTAGCATTTAACTTCTAAAAAGGATACCACACAAAAACAAGGAGGCTAATTAAATGGAAATTAAAAATAATGGTCACAAGGATAAAATGCCTACAAGTGGCATGGAAACTTTTTTAAAACACCATATTAAAGACTCAAACTAAGTGCAGCAGAGGCAAGAAACTTGCCAAGTCAGTCAACAGAGTTGCTAAAGGAACACTAAAGGAAAACAAGGTTATTGCAGAGATGCTAAATTAATTCTTTCCATTCGTCTTTGTTGCAGTGGATGTAAGGGAGATTCCCATGCCTGAATCATTCTTTTTAGGTGATGAATCTGAGAAACTATCCAAATTAAGGTGTCAGTAGATGATGTTTTGAAACAAATAGATAAATTAAACAGTAATAACTCATCTAAGAGTTCTGAAGGAACTCAAATATGAAATTGCAGAACTCCTAATTTAGTAAGTAACCTATCACTTAATTCTGCCTCTGCACTTGGTGACTGGCGGATAACTCATGTTTGACACTGATATTTTTTTTTTAAGTCTCCAGAGGCAATCCTGGCAATTACAGACCAGTAAGCCTAACGTGAGTACCAGACAACTTGATTTAAAAACTAACAGAATTACCAGACTGTAAACAGACTTTGTTGAGGAAGAGTCAACATGGCTTTTGTAAAGAGAAATCCTGCCACACCAATTTATTATAATTCTTTGAGGGGGTTAACCAACATAGACAAGGGTAAACTAGTGCAGAAGTCATGACCCACTTTGGGGTCCTGACCCACAGTTTGAGAAATTCCGATTTATGGATGTAATATACCTGGAGTTTTCAAGGTTCCTCACCAAAGGCTCTCCTGAAAACTAAGCAGTTGGGGGATATGAGAGATTATCCACACATGGACCAGTAACTGGTGAAAAGATATTAAACAGAAGATAGGAATACATCGCCCATTTTCACAGTGAAGAGGTAAACAGCATCTCCCAGGGTATGTCTACACTACATGGCTCTGTCAACAGAGCCATGTAAACTAGTTTACCCAACATAGTCAATGAAGCGGGGATTTAAATAATCCCCGCTTCATTACAATAAAAATGGCTGCCACGCTGTGCTGACAATCAGCTGATCCAGCACAGCGCGGGAGTCTAGATCCGGATCGGTGGACAAGGGAAGCATTTGTTAACCGCTCCTGTAAACCTCATTTCATGAGGCATAAGGGAGCGGTCGACAAAGGCTTCCCTTGTCGACCAATCCGCATCTAGACTCCCGCTGTGCCGGATCAAATGATTGTCGGCACAGCACGGTGGCCATTTTTATTTTAATGAAGTGGGATTATTTAAATCCCCGCTTCATTGACTATGTCGGGTAAACTAGTTTACATGGCTCTATCGACAGAGCCATGTAGTCTAGACATACCCCCAATGATCTGTACTGAGACCCATACTGTTCAACATACAGTATTCATAAATGATCTGAAAAAAAAAGGGTAAATAGTGAGGTAGCAAAGTCTGTAGAGGATATTAAATTACTCAAGATAGTAAGTCCAAGGCTGATTGCAAAAGTTTGTAAGATCTCCAGAACTGGGTGGTGAAGTGGGAAAGAATGTCAGATGAAATGTATTGATAAATGCAAAGTAATGCACATTGAAAAACATTACCCAGATGTACAAAATGATTGGGTCTACCTTAGCTGTTACCATTCAGGAAAGAGATCTTGGTATCATTGTAGATAATTCTCTGAAACCATTTATTGTCACAGTCAAAAATAAAAAAAAACAAAAATGTGCACACGTAATTCCATCCTCCCCAAATCAGAACGGTTAAGAACCATTTGGAAAATAAATAGAATAAGGCCACTATCTATACCACACCATCGTATACCCATACCTTTACTGCTGCATGCCATTCTGGTCACCCCATCTCAAAAAAGATATATTAGAATTTTAAAAGGTAGAAAGAAAGACAAAACAAATTATTAGTGGTATGGAACAGCTTCCATGTGAGGAGAAATGACAGAGACCAGGACTATTCTGCTTAGAAAAAGAGACAACTAAATGATGATATAACATAATGTTATTAAAACATTGATGATGTGGAGAATTTGAATAAGGAAGGCTTACACATTACACAACAGGGGTTACTCAATTAAGAACATAAATTAAAAGGGACATAAGGAAATACTTCTTCATACAATGCACAATCAACCAGTAGAATTCATTGCCAGGAGATGTTAAGACTAAAAACATAATTGGGTTCAAAACTGAAAGAGATACATTCGTGGAGGATAGGTCTATCAATGGCTATTAACCAACAGCCAAAAGTTGGAACCACATGCCATTCTGGTCACTCCATCATAAAAAAGATATTAGAATTGGAAAAAAGTAGGAAGAAGGGCAACAAAAACGATAAGTGGTATGGAACAATTTCCATATGAGGAGATATTAAAAAGACCAGGAACCCACTACCCTGACTCCTGCACTCCCACTTCCACCTCTGAGCCTCTCCTCACTCCCTGCTCTGACTCCTGCACTTCACACTCCCTAACCTGAGCCTCCTCTCACCTTCTAAACCTGACTCCTGCACCCCCTTCACCACTAGCTTCT